TTTCAAACATTTTATTTTGTTTTTAACATGTTATAAACATTAAAACATTACAAAAAAAAAAAACTAAACCTCCACAAAGGCACACAGCATGACAGAGCTCTGAATATTACTGTAGAGCTTTAGTAGTATCAAATAGTGTTCAACATCAGCCAAACAGTGTCACGTCTCCTGCCACCATAACAGGAACAGAGGGGGTTAGCGTCACTGCTGTAATGTCCAGGAAAAGCCAGTGGTTCAATAAACCCAAAAGGGGAGACAATGAAGAGGACATTAAACATAAGACAAATTAAACAGCATTTAGTCAAGTAACCTTTATTTAGATAACACTTTATACAATACTGATTGTGTCAAAGCACCTTTACAGTGTTAAACAAGAAAATAGCTCGTCAATGCAAGAGGACAATAACAGAGTAACATTCCAGCTAAAGTCTAAACCTAATTAATGCAGCATAACAATAACGGATTTGAATTATAGAATTGCAATATTGTACTGTGTATGCGCCAAGTTAAAGAGATGTGTCTTTAATCTACATTTAAACATAGTGTGTCTGCCTCGCTGTCACACAACAGAAGACAGCTAATGAAAAAGTGAGATGGGTGCCCTTAGTAAAACTACTCAAATTCAGTTTAGGGATTGTGCCAAAATAGGACAAGCAGTGGGGAAAAATAAATAAATAAATAAATAAAAAAGATTTTATTAGTAACAGAATAGCTAAAACAACAGAATTTCATAGAAATACAGCTGCAACATACTTTGCATGTGTGCTTAAGAATATATGCTTCTGGTGTTATATCTAAGCCAATGAGCCATTATTTGGAACCTCAATGAAACAGATTTAAAAATATGTGAGCGGAAACGCAGAAAGAACTGCTTTGAAAGAACTAGAAGAAATAACTGCTACCATACTTTACAAGTGAGAGGAAACATGCAATATGGATGCAGACAAACTCATGAAGACTGTACTATCATTCTTTATAACTAAGAGTAACAAAGACAAAAT